TCGAAAGTTGGGTTGAGACACAAGATAATGCTCTTCTGTTTGGTGTAATTAGGGGGGGGGGGAGAAATGTTATCGATGGCAAACAAAGTGTAATATTAATTCTGATGTTCATGAAGTTCACAATAACTATACGATGTTCTAAAAACTGGTGGTAGTGCAGGGCAGTGGTTTCAAAAACAAGGGCTTATCTTTCATATGCTTAATTGTCCCATTTGCAGCAAAATCATGACTGCGAATCCGCTATGAGCTGCAGCATAAGCCATTAGAATTCAGATGCCACAAAAGAGGTTTACAACCCCATGATAAATGTATTTCTGTGTTCAGCGCCTTGTTTTTTGCCAAAAATCAATGGCATTATAAAAAAATTATGACTTTAACTTATTACTTTGCTCATAATATCACAAATTATAATTTCCTCATACATGAAACGTCTGATGAATGGATATCTTATTGTCGGAAGGTTTGTGTGGGCTGAAAATCAGAATTCTGTACAAATTGGTGGGCCAGGCACAATTGCTGAAATTGATAAATCGAAGGTGGGGAAGAGAAACCGAGACAGATTAGTCGAAGGACAGTGGATTTTCGGTTTAATAACACCAAAGAATTTTCCCACTAACAAAAGTGATGCTTCGAGCCTCTTACCAATTATAATAAAATGCGTGAAACTTGGGACCACAATAATTTCCAACCAATAATCAGCCGATTGATCAAAATGAAATATTCTCATCATTCAATATTTTATATTTTCAGAAATCTACTCGTAAGTATTGAACTATTAATTTTTTGGGGAAATTAATAGAAAAGTGCTCTTAATAAAGCAGCATTCAAAAGTTTGTCAGATTTCTTTTAAGAAGTCAGCCTTTTAGGAATTAAAATTTAATGTTTGGCAGCAAAATAAACACTAAATCTTCTCAATTTCTAATAAGGCTTTTGATCGTGACTCTAATACAGAAATTATAACAATTAGGCATACAAGGTAACTGGTTACGTTGGTTTCAATAAAATAAAATCTTTGGACTGCAAAAAATTTAAAAATGATCTCAAAACAGTTGTTATTCCTCAACATCAGCATCGGTACTGGCAAATCAACAGTTGCCAATTTTGTAGCATTTACTTTCCCTAGGATTTTTATTATAAATTGCGCTAAAATTTATTAGAAATTGAGAATATTTAACGTTTATTTTTCTCTACAAATTAAATTTTAAAAGGGTGCATTCTTAATGATTGAATGCTTTTTAAGAACATTTTTCTATTCACTTCCCTAAAAATTAATAGTTCAATACCTAAGTAAATTTCTGAAAATATAAAATGTTGAATATCTGCGAAAGGGTTGAGAATCGGACCATGGTTGTATGAACATTTTTATTGCATTTGAGGTGTAGAAGCACCTGACGAACTTTGTCGCATGAGTAGCAAATCACCCTGTATAATTCGTTTTTGCAAATATATTTAATCTTTGGACTGCAAAAAACTAAAAAATGAACTCAAAACAGTATTATTCCTCAACATCAGATTCTGTACTGGCAAATTGACAGTTACGAATTTCTTAATAAACTGCTCAAAAATGAATTTGAGGTATATTGCCAATTTTGTAGTATTTACTTTATCTGGCATTTTTATTATACATTGTGTTAAAATTAATTATAAATTAGGAAGAATTAGTGTTTGTTTTTCCTCCAAAAATTAAATTTTATGTTCTAAATGGGTGCCTTCTTAAAGGAAATGTGACGTAAATCCGAAGCTATTTTAAAAGCATTTTTTATCCATTTCTCCAAAAATTCATAGTTCAATACCAACAAGTAGATTTTTGAAAATATAAAACGTTGAATATCTGCGAAAGAGTTGAGAATCAGACCTTGGTTCGTACGAACATTTTTATTGCATTTGAGGTTTAGAACCACATGACAAACTTTGTCGTATGAGAAGTAAATCCCTAACCATCCCTCACCCTGCAGTTTACTAATCTTTGGACTGCAAAAAAAAAAACCGCTATTATTCCCCAACAACAGCTTCTGTACTACCAAATCAAACAATTTCTTAATAAACTGCTCAAAAATGAATAGGAATATTGCCAATTTTTTAATATTTACTTTCCCTAGCATTTTTATTATAAATTGTGCTAAAATTTATTAGAAATTAATTTGTTTTAGCATTTGTTTTTCTACGAACAATTAAATTTTAAATGGGTGCCTGCTTAAAGGAAATTTAGCATGTTTTTGAAGGTTTTTTATGAGTATTTTTCTATTCATTTCCCTAAAAATTAATAATTCGATACCTACAAGTAGATTTCTGAAAATATAAAATGTTGAATAACTGCGAAAGGGTTGAGAATCGGAACATGGTTAATGCAAAAGTTATTACTGAATTAGCAGCATAGAAGCACCTGGTGAACGAGTAGCAAATCACCCTGTATAAGCTGTTTTTTCAAATATATTTAATCTTTGGACTGCAAAAAATTAAACAATGACCTCAAAACAGTTATTATTCCCCACCATCAGCTTCTGTACTGGCAAATTGACAGTTACCAATTTCTTAATAAACTGCTCAAAAATGAATAGGGATATTGCCAATTTTGTAGTATTTACTTTCTCTAGCATTGTTATTATAAATTGTGTTAAAATTAATTAGAAATTGAGAAGAATTAGTGTTTGTTTTTCCTCCAAAAATTAAATTTTATGTTCTAAATGGGTGCCTTCTTAAAGGAAATGTGACGTACATCTGAAGGTTTTTAAGAGCATTTTTCTATCCATTTCTCCCAAATTCATAGTTCAATACCAACGAGTAGATTTTTGAAGATATAAAACGTTGAATATTTGCGAAAGGGTTGAGAATCAGACGTTAGTTCGTATGAACATTTTTATTGCATTTGGGGGGGTACAAGCACCTGACGAACTTTGTCGTATGAGAAGTGAACCACCCTTCATATTATCAATCTTTGGACGGCAAAAAATTAAAAAATTATTTCAAAACAGTTATTATTCCCCAACAACAGCTTCTGTGCTGGCAAATCAAACTATTTCTTAATAAACTGCTCAAAATTAAATGGGGATATTGCCAATTTTGCAGTATTTACTTCAAAATTGATTAGAAATTGAGAAGTTTTAGTGTTTGTTTTCCTACGAAAAATTAACTATTAAAACTTAAAAGGGTGCCATCATAAAGGAAATTTAACATGCTTTTGAAGGCTTTTTAAGAGCATTTTTCTATTCGTTCCCTTAAAATTAATCCTTCGAGTAGATTTCTGAAATACAAAATGTTGAATATCTGTGAAAGGGTTTTGAATCAGGCCTTGATTCGTACGAACATTTTTATTGCATTTGAGGTGTAGAACCACCTGACGAACTTTGTCGTATGAGAAGTGAACCACCCTTCATATTATCAATCTTTGGACGGCAAAAATTAAAAAATTATTTCAAAACAGTTATTTTTCCCCAACAACAGCTTCTGTACTGGCAAATCAGACAATTTCTTAACAAATGCTCAAAAATAAATGAGGATATTGTCAATTTTGTAGTATTTACTTCAAAATGTATTAGAAATTGAGAAGTTTTAGTGTTGTTTTCCTACCAAAAATTAAATTTTAAAGGGCTGCCTTCTTAAAGGAAATTTAACATGCTTTTGAAGGCTTTTTAAGTGCATTTTTCTATTCATTTCCCTTAAAATTAATCCTTCGAGTAGATTTCGGAAAATATAAAATGTTGAATATCTGCGAAAGGGTTGAGAATCGGACCATGGTTGTACGAACATTTTTATTGCATTTGAGGTGTAAAAGCACCTGACGAACTTTGTCGTATGAAAAGCGAATCACCCTGAATATTACTAACCTTTGGAGTGTAAAATAATTATTTCAAAACAGCTATTATTCCCTAACATCAGCTTCTGTACTGGGAAATTGACAGTTACCAATTTCTTAATAAACTGCTCAAAAATGAATAGGGATGTTGCCAGTTTTATAGTATTTACTCTCCCTTGGTTTTTTATTATAAATTTCTTCAAAGTTTATTAGTAATTGAGAAGTTTTGGCATTTGTTTTTCTACCAAAAATTAAATTTTAAACAGGTGCCTGCTTAAAGGAAATTTAACATGTTTTTGAAGGTTTTTTTTATGAGCATTTTTCTATTCATTTCCCTAAAAATTAATAGTTCGATACCTACGAGTAGATTCCTGAAAATACAAAATGTTGAATATCTGCGAAAGGGTTTTGAATCAGACCTTGGTTCGTACGAACAATTTTTTAATAAACTGCTCAAAAATAAATAGGGAAATTGCCAATTTATTATATATAATTTTGTAGCATTTACATTCCCTAGGAATTCTATTATAAATTGCTTCAAAATTTATTAGAAATTGAGAAGTTTTATCGTTTGTTTTTCAACCAAAAATTAAATTTTAAAAATGTGACTTCTTAAAGGAAATTTGACGTGCTTTTAAATGCTTTTTAAGATCATTTTTCTATTCATTTCCACAAAAATTAATAGTTCAATACCTACGGGCAATATAAAATGTTGAATATCTGCGAATGGGTTGAGAATCGGACCATGGTTCGTGCGAACTATTCATTTTTGAGCAGTTTAGTCGTGAAGATTTTGGTACAGAGTGGCGTAAAATTTGGGTTTGTGGAAGATCAGGAAAACCACAGAAGAGTGGAAACGTCCGTGTGAAGAGTGGAAAAGGCAAGTGTTTCTTAATGTTTACGCAAAATATTGTAATAAAAGGTCGACTAACTGTGGATTTGCAATGTGTGCTGTGTTGGATTCGTTTCCCCTTAGGGACAAGAGGCCCGACGGTATGAAAACAAATCACTCGACGTCGGTGTAAAAAAACCAATGAAAACTTGGAAGAGAAATAAATGAGTCAGTGTTTAAAAACAACCCAAGAACTGGAGAACACTGATAATGAATCTTGTTCAGAATAAGGCGGACAAGCGTTGAATTTAGACAAAAACAAAATCGGTAAAAAGTAAAAAAAAAATCGTGTAAAAGGATAAAAGTGATACTCACTTTCTGCCGATAAAAGGGCACGGGTTCGTCTAGGACGGAGCTCCGTGAAGGTGCGGACGCGGTTTTCCCTTTTTCCTCGAAGGGCGCGGCCCTTTTCCCGAGCCCTGGGAAATTCGAGGGCGGAAAAGAAAATGGGAAAACGGAGGCGACTGGGACAGGGGGCCGAGTCGGATTCCGAGTCACTCGGGCTAATCAGGACAGGCTCGAGAGTGTTTTCTCTGCCATGGAGGAGAGGAGGCGCCTCGGGCGACAGCTGTTCCACGGCCCCAAACCCGCCATGGAGGACGATTTTCAAATTCTTCAACTCGGAGACTTCAATTGCAATTTATTTACTCATTTTCACTCTTTAAAAAATCCGTCTGAATCGTTTCCCCTTATTAAATTTTTAAAAAGAAATTAAACCACAAACTTGACCTACTGTTAATTCAAAAACTATCCAATCGGACGTTTTCTTATACAGGTTAAACTCTCAACAAATCCCGAAACAAAAAAATAAATTAAATAAAAGCATACAATTAATTTTCTTTATTTTTTAATATTCATTAATCCTTTTCATAATCTCTTCAAAGTTAAAAAATAACTACAAAATTTTAAACTAATAAACTTATAAAAAAACGCCTGTAATGCACTCTGATGTCTAAACGACCAAACGTTTTATTATTTATTTATTTATTATTTTATTATATTTTTATTCATTTTCATTTATTAAGGCTATCAACCACACTAGGTTATTAATGCCTTGAAATTATCTTGAAAATCATGTTTGAACTAGGTATCTTAAGTGATTATCAGGGGGACAAGTCAACAGAAGAGATGCTCAATACCGCCACCTTTCTTTTTTTTCTTTTTTTAAATTTTAATTTAATTAACATTCAATTCAGTCCTTTTATATGGATGCTGATGGGCCCCAGCATCCGTATATCCCAGGACCAGTGCTTCAAGGTCAGCCCGGAGGACCTTCCCCATACCCACCATGGAGGGCGGTTTTCAAATTTTTCAACTCAGAGATTTGAATTCAACTTATTTACCGAAGCATTTCACCTTCTTAAATTTTTAAAAAGAATTAAACAAAAAAACAAACAACCTATTTTCAATAAAAAGCTATCTAATCAGATTTTTTCTTATACAGGTTAAACTCACATCAAACCCCCCCCCCAAAAAAAAAAAAATAAATAAATAAAAGCATACAGCTAATTTTATTTATTTTTTAACATATACCTAATCCTTTTCAAAATCTCTCCAAAGTGAAAAAGAACTAAAAAATTTTAAGCTAATAATTTATATAATAACGCCTATAATGCACTCCGATGTCCAACTAACCAAACTTTCTATTTATTTTATTTATTTAGTTGTTTCATTTTTTAAGGCAAGGTTATTAATGCCTTGAAATTATCTTGAGAATCATTTTTGGACTAGGTATCTTAAGTGATGATCAGGGGAGCAAGTCAACAGAAGAGATGCTCAAGACCGCCACCTTTCTTTTTTTTTCTTTTTTTTCTTTTTTTTCCATTAACATACAATTGTCCTTTTAGACCTTTTTAGATGGATGCTTACGGGCCCCAGCATTATTTTAAGTAATTAAACCACAAACTTAACCTATTTTCAATAAAAAGCTATCCAATCAGATTTTTTCTGATATAGGTAAACTCACAAACACCCAACAAAAAAAAAAATTAATTAATAAAAGCATACAGCTAATTTTATTTATTTTTAATATACCTAATCCTTTTTAAAATCTCTCCAAAGTGAAAAAGAACTACAAAATTTTAAGCTAATAAACTTAAATAAAAACGTCTGTAATGCACTCTGATGTCTAAACGACCAAACTTTTTATTTATTTTATTTTTTATTATTTTAATTTTATTTTTTAAATTTATTTTCATTTTTTTAAGCCAGTCTACTACAATTGGTTATGAATGGATTGAAATTATCTTGAATGATCATTTTTGGACTAGGTGTCTTATGTGATGACTTGATCCAGCACGCAGGGGTCAGGGGCTTTTCTTCGACATTCACTTCAGTCCTTTTAGGTGGATGCTGACGGGTACCCGCATCCCTATATCCCAGGACCAGTGCTTCAAGGACAGCCCGGAGGTCCAAATCGCGCATCGTACATTGACCTAACGACCTAACCTAAGACAGAACGTTTAAATGTTAGGGGGTGAAAAATGACCTTAGGCATTAAAACACCCTAAAAAATTAACAATAATAAAAGAATTTATTAACAAATACAATATACATTTCTTTCTTTATTTCATATGCTAGACACACTCTCATCTATCACATCGTGTAGATAAGTGTGTTATATAAAAAAAATTAAATAGCTTGTCCATTTTCCTTTGGTGATATTTTAATACACCGAATAAATAATCTCCAAGATTACAATTAGCTTGAGTTTGAGCAAATTTTTTGTATCAGGTCAAAATATGTTTAATGGTTAACCTAACATGACAAACCTAACATATTGGAGTGGGTTCTTTAGACAAGTAAATGTCATGTGAAAAGCCCACGTATGAGTCCGGCAGGCAGAGGTTGCTCGATGTGTCCCACCTAATTGAACGGTGCAATTCCTCGGCTCCATACACAGAGTTGTATATAGCCAACCTCGGTGGCTAGACGTGTAAGACTGAGGTCTGTCCCCAGTCTGCCAACACCTGGGATGAGTGATTCTTGAGACAGCCTGAGTAAGCATTCAATATTCCTCCATCACTCTTCATATGTATTATACAACTAGCCTAATTGAGGGTCAATGGGGTACTTGATATTCCACCATCGACCCTCTCACATCACACATTCACGCTAATAAATACATTCACTCTCAAGACAAGCTAGGTATACACAAATATTATTACTATATACAATAGAATAATTGCGCTTCCTTCAAGAATCAGAACAAGGGACTAGAATACGCACTGCTGTATCAAGCACAATTTCAAATTGGGTGACATTCCTGCGCACTCTCTTGTATGGAGCCAAGGAATTGCACCCTTTAATTAGGTAGGACACATCCAACAACATGCCGGGCACATACACGGGCTTTGGTCCGAAAATAAGTGTCCCTGTGTCATCCTCGCATGGGCTATGCTTAATTGGGTGAGGACAGTGTTCTTGATGCTCTAGACCTTCTCTTTCAATCCGGCCCATTGTTGCTGCCACCTTATTTTAATCATTTTTTTTATTGCATTCTTAGCATAATAGAACAATTTTACTGGAAATGTTGGTATGGAAATAATAAAAAAATATATTCAGTACGGTTACTTCCTCCTCTTGTGTTGATCACCACGTGGCATCGATTTTATAAAATTTTGATTGTGCCGTGGAATATTTTCATACTTCTCAAACAGCACAATTCTTAATTTCTGCAAATTCTCTGGCATCACTGGGTGACTTTTCACCGTCTTTGATAACTCGCCACGAAGGTGTTCAATAGGGTTAAAACCAGGTTTGCATGCTGGCCACTACAAATGTTGGATTGAAGCATTTTGCAATTAATCACTAACGATCATGTGGAGCCTTGCATTGTCATGCATAAAAATAAAACTGATACCAAATGGCATATAGGGACAACTTCTCGTAATGCATCTATCGCTCAGCTGATAGTAACCCTCCATGAAGGTCAAAATTCTATTAAATTTTATATCAGCCAATAAGGGCAGAAAATAATTTGAAATTAGTAGATTAGTTCCATCTTGATCTTCCTATAAGCATTTTAAAACTCATCAGAAGTAATTAAATATAACTAATTAGCCTCTCTTAAAAAAACATTAATCGGGCATTAAATGTGTAATTTTAGATAGGTTGTTGATTATTTATCAATAAATGTAACAGAAATAATTCAGATTAAGAGAAAATTTCAATTTACACAACTTTATTAAAAGTAAATAATTAAACAATTAATTTACAGCTTTTCATTTTGCTAATAATGTGTAATTAAAAAATACTGAGTAAATTTCTTTTTTGAAAGATTTAATGTAAAATGGTGTTCTTTTTTTAGAAGAAAAAAAAATCAAGAATGGTTTGTTTTTAACATTAAATATTTCAAAACTCTGAATTGCTTAGATTAAAAAAAACTTATTTACAAAATTTATACCAATTGAAAAACAAGATCTGCATTAATGTATTAATTGGTTTGGTTAGGACAAAATAGGAAAATGCCTACATTTTCCATTTTTCCCCATGAAAGCGTGCTTTTCGTCTTCCTCTTCGAAGCTCATCTGAGAATGTATACTATCAGACGAGTGCTGTTTTTTCTGAATTTTTGGCGACCTGGTCAGCCTGGGCGAGAGTACGAGACGAGGCGACCTTTTATTCATTTGTTTCTCAACCCAGCGCAACATCGTCAAAACTTCATCAGGCCCTGCAAGGCGAAAGTCTGCTGCAGTTCGTACTGTTGGCAATGAGTCTACTCGAAAAGTGCAAGCGATACCTTGAAGGGCTTGCATAGCGCCTTCATTCCCGGCATATATGATTCTTACCCTTTCTGACCAGTCGACGCCGTACATGGTCCTCAGCATATAAATAGAAGCCCTGCCCTGGTCCCATGTGACCGGCGGTTTTGCTTCAATTGCCATATGCGCTTGATGAGGCTGGAATCCCGCTTTATAGAAAATCTGGCTTGCTCTTTTTACAATATGGTCTCGTTTAGATACAGGTGTTTCTCTGTAATGGAACGTCAAAAGTACTCCTTTGTTTTCAACCCAAGCTCCATCGTGACACACTTCATCTTGCAATAAGCGCATAAGCTCTCTCAACTTTTCCGCATAAGCGTTCGGTACCGGATGCATAAATTTGGTGCCGTCTGGATGTAAAATTTCCAAGCCGTGAGACCCAGCATAAGTAATGCTGTCAATTCCTACCATGTGGATTACATTCTCCAATCTACGACCTGATATAACTGCGATGTTAACATCTGGCATGTTTGCAAGTCTTTCTAAAACTTTTTTAGTTTCTGATGGAAGAACCGCTAAATCAGGATGAGAAGTTAATTGAACCAATGTACCGTCGTAATCTAGAATTAAACTGAGTTTGCAATTATTATCAATGTGGTTGTTTAAATAATGATCAAAATCGTCGAGCGATAAAGGAAGCATTTTTGCTGTCAATGGATCGTCTTCTTCATCAGTGGAAAGTGCACCGATCGCTGAAAGAAATGTTTTCATCCAGTGGTTGACGTTCATGAGTTGTTCTCTGTGCCTTAATTGTCTCATTCTCAATTCTCTTTCGTCCAATGGCATTTGGAGTGCACGGTGAAGGGTAGCTGCAGCATCGTCAATTTCATAAGGGTTGACAAGTAATGCTTCGTGCATCATACCCCCTGCACCGGCAAATGGCGATAATATCAGAACACCGGGGTCTTTTATTTGACAAGCGACATACTCCTTTGCCACAAGGTTCATACCATCCCTGAGAGGTGTGACTAAAGCGATGGCCGAATCTCTGTAAATAGCAGCAAGCTGTTCTTGGTTGATACAGCCATAAATGTATCTTATAGGAGACCAGTTCGGTCTAGAGAATTTTCCGTTGATTCTTCCGATCAGTTGATCAATCTCCTCTTTTAGCTGTTTGTACTCTTTCACATTTGTCCTCGAAGGGACTGATATCTGCAAAAAGTTTACTGTTTCTATATACTCTGGGTGTTTTTCAAGGAGTCGTTCGAATGCGAGCATACGGTGTACCAAACCTGAAAAAATATTGTTTATGAGGTTATCCAATCAAAGTAAATAACTAAAAATTCTACCTTTAGTATAATCAAGCCTGTCAACTCCAAGAATAACTTTGACCTTATCTGTGTCCTTTATGTAGACAGGTGCGCTTTCTGCAAGCTGCACAAATCTCTCAAAAGGGATGCCAATCGGAAGGGCTTTTACGTGTATTGTCCTTCCAGCGAGTTCGACTAACATTTTGTTCCTATCAACACGACATCCTAGCCTCCTGCTGCAGCAGTCGATAAAATTAAGGCAGTAATCTTCAATATGAAAGCCAACAAAGTCACAGGCTGGAAGTGACAATTAATATTAGACCTAAAATCTTATCATGATGTGTTTGTTTTTTGTAAAAAAGAGGGTTGCCTTATCATTGATTTACATAATATAATAGCAAAAAACAATCGCCAGATTTAAAATTATAACTTTCATTCTAAATATTCAATTTCGACCATTTACCCATTATTCCTTGTAGGATTACATCATCCCATGGGAAGAGCCTCATGATATCCCATGACGGAAATGGTATATGCAGGAAAAATGCTAGCTTACACCGTAAATTTTCTTCATTACAAACCTGAAAATGTTAGTTATACAGATCAGAAAAATGCTAATTTATTTATTGTTAATTAATCATTGAGAAGTTTAGACAAAATATCGAGTCTATTGATAGGTTAAAAATTCCAAGATCTCCGTGGATGAAAACATTTATTCAATTTAGTAAATTACATGGACGTTTCGGGTTCCTGGCCCATCATCAGCAACTAAATATAGAGAAATCTCATGGTATAATTCTCAATCTGAAGGCACACCCATCAGTAATTTCCAATTTTTTAAATAAAAATGCCTGCCAATGATACATATATATTATTTTTCCACCCCTTTATTTGTGCCTTCAGATTGAGAATTATATATGAGATTTCTCTATGTTTAGTTTCTGATGATGGGCCAGAAGCCCGAAACGTCAATGTAATTTACTAAATTGAATAAATGTTTTCAACCACGGAGATCTTGGAATTTTTCAACCTATCAATAGAGAAAATATGAACCGTGGAGTTGGTAATTATAAAATATCGAGTCTCAAGTTAATTACCTGTCTTATGTAATTTGCAGCAACAAAAAGTTGATAGTCGTGAATCCATATGACTGGGGAAATATTACCTTTTCCCTGTGAATCAAGATCTGTCAATGTTTTTCTCAATGCAGTCAATGTGCTCTTAGCGAATTCCTCATTGACCTTGCAATACGCCTAAAATAAAACACATTCAATAAAGAGAAAAAAATGACCAAATATAAAAATATACCTTCCATGTTTCAGCTTTGAAAACCGCTCTGTCAGGCATGGAATGAAATAGTGGCCAGAGGGTTCCGTTGCAGCATCCGTTGTAGTACGATTCAAATAGTTTTTCATCAAGTTGAACTGGGATTATCTATAATATTTATTTTTTGTCAAAACTTTGAAGCAGTGTGATTTATTGCTTGGGAATACCTGACTTGAAAGCAAGCCAGAGGTGGGGGCTTTGTCTTCAGGGTCTGCCTCAGGGATTGCTTCATCGGCGTCCATATCGTGTATGCCAGACCAACCGATCCAAAGTCCTTTGCACTCTATGACCACAGGTGCCACAGCAGTCACCAGACCACCAGCGCTGTTATAAATTTTAAAGTTAAAATCTTTCCAAAATGGTTTTTACAATTTAATTTACCTTTGCTTTCTTTCGAGAATTTCTTTTTCATTCCTTGACAGGACGAATGGTAAACGGTTTGAAACAACAATCAGAGGTGCAGTCACCTCTCTTTTCAGCCCCATTCCAAGATCTAAAAAAAAAATCTATGATAATATGGTATGTCAGTTTGATATTTTCCTTCTATTCCACTAATTTTTTAACCATGGTAAGTTCCTTTAAAAATGCAATAAAAACAGGATTAAAAGAAGGTGGCAAAGTCAGTGGGGCCAGGTTGTCAGAGAGGTACAGATCAAGCACTCTCAATAGGTGGCCCTCGTAGGATCTGACTCAGAAGAAGGGTCATCCTCACACGATTAAGGTTAGGTCATGCGAGACTGACACACGGACACTTTTTTCAGCCAAAGCCTGTGTCTGTCTCCAGGTCTCCAGCAAGTAAGAGGTTGCTCAATGTATGGCACCTAATTTAAGGGTGCAACTCCTTGGCTCTATGTAGAGAGCGTGTAGGATTGCCACCCGATATGAGAATCATCCTTGATCACGGCAGTGGGAATCTGTGTTCTCTGTTCCAATTTTTAGAAGAATAAAGGTTGTTTTATTGTATATTGTAAAGTTCTGTATCCTAAGAGTGTGTTGAGAGTGAAAAGGGTTAATGGCAGAATACTGTGTACGACATTGATCCTGAATTAGGTTAGTCATGCATTTATGTATGTGTAAAACATGATTCGAGAAATATCTAGAACCACCCTAATTGAATGAAGGTATGTAAATAGGAGACAATGTATTTAAGAAAGAGTGAGAGTGTGTAGTAATATTAGTTGTGCATACCTAGTTTGTGTTAAGAATGAATGTATTAGCGTGAATGTGAGATGTGAGAGGATCGACGGTGGGATATCGAATACCCCATCGACACTCAATTAGGTTAGTTGTACATGTGTAAAGGGTGAAGTAGGAATATCGAGTACTTCACTAACCTAATGGAATGAATGGTATGTAAATAAGAATGTGTTTAAGAATCAACTTGGGGAAGAAAGGTTCGGAACTGCATTCATTGGGTGCTGAATTGACTTAGATGTTGGTAACACCTGGTGCCCAACTTCGGTGGCTGGCTGGATAAGACCGAGGTCCCCAGACTGACAACACCCAGGGTGATTCTCGAATTTATAGTAAATCACAAAAATGAATTAATTGTAGATGCGAGAAGCGATAAGCTCAACTCTGTATACATATGTAAACATTTGCATATACATGCAGATTTGAGCTTATATAAAACCAAATCCGAACTATTTGGTCAAAATAATCAAATACACTACAATGAAAACTGTGATAATAGATCATTTTTCTTTTGAAATTTAACAAATTATCCAGGATCAGAAAAAAATTTTTAAATTTTACCACCAGATTTTAAATTTGATTTTGTCCTTTCATGATGAATGTTTAATCTTTTAGATTTTCGGACGTTCACCTTTGTATTTAAAAAAATACATGGTAAAACTTTTAATATAGCAATTTTTACACCTAGTCGGGAAATATCCGTGTTGTGCAATGCAGATAATTTTTTTTTCAAAGGGCAGCAAAAATTGCATGTGACCAAAAACGGCAAAATAAGAAAGTAAGTCACGCCTCTGAAGTGAGCTTAAAGCAAAAAAAATCTATATGGCATAATGACGAAATAAGTCACGCTGCTCAACTAAGCTTAAAGCAAAAAAAAAAAAAATCTGTATGGCATAATGAGGAAATAAGCCACGCCTCTGAACTAAGCTTAAAGCAAAAAAAAAAAATCTGTATGGCATAATGAGGAAATAAGTCACGCCTCTGAACTAAGCTTAAAGCAAAAAAAAAAAATCTATTTGGCATAATGAGGAAATAAGTCACGCCGCTGAACTAAGCTTAAAGCAAAAAAAATCTTATTTTCTGAAAAGTTGTTATTTCTGATATTAATCTATCTTACTTTAATCAATTAATTTTAATTATTATTACATTATTCAAGCACCAAATTCTTGAGCGCTTAGGTCAATCGCTGAAGGAGCTCCCTCTGTGTTGAAATATTTATTTTTTGAAATCCTAGACGGGATAATGTCTAAAAGGTGTAATAAAACTTAACGTCGGGGAAACAAACATTATCGCGACCACTTACCGAATTGCATGTTCAAAAGTTGAAATTATTCCAGAAGAAAGAAATCGAATCTTGGCTGCAATTTGGAAAGAGATTAGTTCAGGACTGAACGTTTTATCTTCGGAATATCGCAACGATAAAAATCCACTACCATCTCTCTCCTCGTTAGGTCACAGCCTTAATCGTATACTAATTATAAAATTGTCAGCCCCTACGACTAATACTTTGTTTTCGAACTTGTTTGTATATTTAATTCGCACCTATTTCAATTTATCGCTGGAGGTTTAGAGTCGGAAAAAGTGGTGGGAAAATCGCGCAAAAATTCGCTGTCTTTAATTAAGTAAATATAGCAAAAAGACAAAAAAACTTTATTCTTTTTTTTAAACTGTAAATAACAAAATAATGAAGACTGTTTATCAACGAATCTTGTATTTAAGACCGAAACTGGTCAAGGGGTAAACAGAAGATGAAAGTCAACACAGGACAATCGTGTTTATAATCTTGTTTTGGATGTAGGATTTGTCAAAGAATTGAAAAAAATAAGTCAAAGCTCACGCGTTCGATGCGTGAGTTTGACGGGGAAGAAGGACCCCTTTGTGTGCCATCGGCGCTGAATGACCCCGACGAGTTAAAAATAAGAGATAAAACGTTTCCAGTAGGTACAAGGTTTGAAGACGGTCAGATCCATTAGAAAACATAAAATTTCGAGATAAAAAGTTTCCAATAGGTGCAAGGTCTGAAGTAGGTCAGATCCTTAAGGACACATCTGGATCATAAGACCATCACTTCAATAAACCGCTTAAAATTTTGCCTGTGTCTATATGAAAGATAGGATATGTACAAGAGATGATAAATGATAGATATGTACGTTTTTGGTTTTTAAAGTGGCCCACACGTCCCACTTAATCAAAGAAAACTAAAAAAAAAGGAAAAAGTCGTCTGAGGTCGACACTGACGAAATTTGGTTTTGTTTTTATTTATGCTATCGATTGTAGTCCTGATGAAGGCATTAAATAGAACGAAATCTTGAGTACAAGTTTTTCAGTTTTCTTTGATCCTCGATCCTCATCGACACGACAAAAAACAAAGAAAAAATGAACTTATGTAAAGTATTTTATGTTTTTGAAACACATGCCTAATCTCACAGCTCAATTGTGTCCAAAAGTGACACAAGCCTCTAGTTAACAAAAAAGTTTATAGATAAAATCCAAAAACACTGCTAAGTCTAAATCTTTTTGTATTAAAAATCAGGATGAATCACGGTCTGGATGAAAAATTAATTCAATTCATTAGTTTTCGTGGTCCGCTTGACCAATTAATATATGTCAATTAATTTAAGGTTTTTAGTTGAGATAAAAAAGTCAATGGCACGAGCGGGATTCGAACCCACGATCTTCGGCTTGATACTCCGCTGCTCTACCACTTGAGCTATCGTGACCTCGATCCACTGGGACACCAGCTTCCCATCTCAACCGCACCTTTTGAATTTTCCCTCCTTTTTGCCATTTTTCAAATGTCGTGTAATCTATTTGATCCTCGGCGACAATGAAATGGCCACGGAGAGCTTTAGTGAAGGTATACTTCATTTTTACTTATTAAATTCACTAGTTTTCGTGGTCCGCTTAATCAATTAATATTTTTCAATTAATTAAGGTTTTTAGTTGAGATAAAATAGTCAGTGCCACGAGCGGGATTAATTCAACTGTTATTGCCAAGTTTTCGACCTATTTTAAAGTCATCATCAGGACAAAACAATCTTAATGTCTACAAATTGAAATAATTAAGTTTTTAATAAAAATTTTCAAATTTTTTGGAAGACTCAGTCCCAACAATGCAAGGATTGTAAAACATTTGAAACTATTAAAATTTAATTGTCAGTTTGTAGATATCTTTAAGATTGTTTTGCCTTGATGATGATCTTAAAATAAATCGAATGCTTGGTAATAACAATTGAATTTTTTTTAAATTTAGAGACACCCTCCTCCTCGATACTCGTACAATATATGGCACATCAGAAGGTCTATAAAAAAAACCTCATCAAAAGAACTAACGTAAATTATTTTGAATTTTTGAAACACACGCCTAATCTCACAGCTCAATTGTTTCCAAAAGTGACACAAGCCTCTAATTAAAAAAAACGTTTATAGATAAAATCAATAGACTGCTAAGTCTAAATCTTTTTGTATTAAAAAATCAGGGATAAGCCGAATCATGGTCTGGATGAAAAATTAATTCAATTGTTACTGCCATGATTTCGACCTATTTTAAAGTCATCATCAGGGCAAAACTATCTTAAAATGTCTACAAATTGAAATCATTAAATTTTTAATAAAAACTTTGATATTTCTTGGAAGACTCAGACCCAACAATGCCAAGGACTGTAAAACATTTGAAACTATAGGTATAAACACTAGGTCGTAGGTTCGAATCCCGCTCGTGACATTGACTTTTTTATCTCAACTAAAAACCTTAATTAATTGAAAGATATTAATTGGTCAAGCGGACCACGAAAACTAGTGAATTGAATTTGAAACTACTAACATTTAATTGTGAGTTTGTAGATATCTTTAAGATTGTTTTGCCTTGAAGATTATCTTAAAATAAATCGAAAGCTTGGTAATAACAATTGATTTTTTTTTTAATCTAGACTATATAGAGAGCTATTCCTTTTCTTTTCTTTTTTTTTTAATTGGCTTTCGTTTGTTCTTAGGTTGTTATTACTCCAACGAGCCCTTTATGAGGGGACATAAGGGAAAAACAATTGTCGAAGAAGTTCACTATTTGTCAGAATCTATCATCGGAGATGCAGATTATTGGATAGTAAAAAAGCAACAGTAACTCTTTACACAGAACCTAAAATAATTCCTGGAATACAAGATGGCTTAACGTTGGTTGTCGCGGACGAAGGGTTGAATCACTTTACGATAATTTTTCATAGTGTAACCAATTAAAAAGCCATGGGCTCCCAGGATTCGAACACAAAACCCCTAGTTTGGCAAATACGAATCTAATCTAAACATTCGGCCACCTCAGTCATCTCAATCTGGGTTAAGAAAAAAAAAAACAGTTCCAGAATGAATCTACATTCATCCCACCTTCATCATTTCTACTAATTTACTCAGTTCCTTCGTCATCCAAGAATCATCATCAGGACTTATTTAAGTATCAGAAATTCATGCAAGATTGGTGGAATTTAATTTTTGACCTTTTTTTAAATTTAATCCATCAACTTTTTAAGTTCAAATTTTCGTTCATCAATGCCAATTTGATCTGAACGTTTTCGGCTTCCTACCATCATCAGTGAGGATTTGAAATTAAACTGTTGTCAATATCAATTCGTTGTCATTGCTCATTGATCCAGCTCGATGATTAACGATATATAAGACAAAAATGAGCAGAAAAAGGATTTTTGACCTTTTTCTTTCTAATCCATCAACTTATTAAAGTTCAAATTTTCGTTCATCAATGCCATCTTGATCTGAACGTTTTCGGCTTCCTGCTATCATCAGTGAGGATTTGAATTTAAACTGTTGACAATATCAATTTGTATCATGGGTCATCCAACTCGATGATTAACGAGATATTAGACAAAAACGAACAGAAAAAGAACAACGACCAGAATTGTGCTATGTATGTTGTAAAAAAATGCATTACTACAAGAATAAGAATCGGTCGGACAAATAAAAGCAACTTAGCATGAGAAAACAAAACTTTCAAAATTGGAGAACAACAGAATATCCTAGAACCTGAGAAACGACCTTATTTTGTACCTGAACCTACCAGCTTTTTACGTTCTTAAAAAACTTGTAAAATTAGTATCTATCCGTTTCGTGGTTCGATGAACAAATAACTTCTTTCAAATAATTAATCTTTATGTAAGGTATTTGTTGAAATGAAAAAGTTAGTGTCACGAGCGGGATTCGAAACCCACGACCGCGGCGTGAGAGCCTCTCATGCTAACCACTCGGCTACCGGTAATTGGTAAAGAGAACCACGAAATTAGTGAATTTAGTTATTAAAGCTTTTGGTTTTTATAAATGGTATCTTTTTCAAAACAAAAGACGTTGATCGATTTTGTTTAGATTTATAACGGAATAGTAGAAAAAGGAAAAACGTTATTTCCTAGCCTTGTCTATTGTGAGACGTAAAAAAAATCCAGATAGAAAAGGCAATTGTTTCTTTTTCCAGTAGGTCCAAGATTACTGTGCATTAAAAGGCGATTCGACTCGTAATTTTTCAAGGCCTGATCAGCAAGAAAAAACAAGAAAAGCCTTTTGTCGCCGGCTCCAACAAAAACCACACTTCGTGCGATTTTACGGCCTCGAGTTTAAAAAGACGCGCGTTTCTTGTCCGAGGGGGGGTGAACTTTTCGACGATTCGGTGAGTCCGTTACAAAATGGTCTTTAAAAAAAGATATCAATAACCATGGGAAATTCTAATGATAACCATCCGTCCATTTCGTCGTGTTTTGGCTAAGCCGAGGGGTGAAAACGGATATGCCGCCCATGTAAATTCGAAGAAGTTAGTACAGCTTACATAGCTGGAGTTTGAGGACGCCAGGTATGATCTCCGGTAGGTACCTAGTTTGTAAACAGTAACCGGGCCTCTCAGTCCCATGATGGAATAAACTAACACTTTTTTTCTGGGTCTATTTTTGTTTTCTAAATTTTCAATGTGAATATTGATGGATCTCTTGATCTATGTAGGGTTCCAATCTTCGTAGGGGTCATTAGACGTCCAATGACCTCTACAAAAATTGGAACGCTGAGTAGATTATCTGCAGGTCGAACAACAAACATCGAATCTCTTGATTTTTGCAGAGACAATGGACTTCAAAAGAACCAGCAAGACTTTTACGATGGTCTAAATTTTTCCGAACGAATTTTAAAATTGTTGAATAACTTTACAGGTATTGGTTGAGATAAAAAAGTCAATGGCACGAGCGGAGACACTAACTTCCCATCTCAACCTCACCTCTTGAATTTTGAAAAATGGCAAAAAGGAGGGAAAATTCGAGAGGTGAGGTTGAGATGGGACGTTAGTGTCCGAGTGGATCGAAGTCACGATAGCTCAAGTGGTTAGAGCAGCGGCGTATTTAGCCGAAAGTCGTGGGTTCGAATCCCGCTCCTGATACTGACT